CTCAACCTTAACCCAAGTCTAATCCTGGCAAGAAATATGTTATTTCATATTTGATTTTCTTGCCTAGTTTTGTGTTTTATATTCCAGGTGTAGTCTTTAAAAATACAAAATAAAAATAACAGAAAAATACATAAAATAGAAAGAAGGATGAAAACATCTCATAAGATAGTTTTCTCTACAAACATCAAAATCAATTCTTAAATAGAATGAAACTCAAAGTCTTAGAAAAAAAATTGTTTTCTCACCACGACTGACAAACGTACGAATTAAAACAAAACATGAATTAAATTTTGAACTTCAAATAACATTTAAAATAAACCAAGATAAAGAACAAAAATAAAACCTACATAGATCTAACATGAACTTTGGGTTAACTAACTTAGCACCAAAGTGGGGATCGTACACTTACCTCAGGCTAGTTTGTGTATAGAAACCTAGGTTAGTTTAATAGGTGCCCAAGTTAGTGCTAAGGGCTAGGACATACAAAACTAATAAGCCTATTCTCTGAGAATAGAGAGAATACCTTAGGATGTTGAAACCCATGGTTACTGACGAAGGTATTTCAGACAACCTCAAAACTAAAACTCCTCTATGCTACAACATTCAAACGGATTCCTAGTTATGAGCTTGGTTATAGTTGACAAATACCATTGTCTCCAAGATGACGGAAAGCCACATACATCCTGACCAAGTACATTATTCTTAAGATCTAGGCTAGTCCACTCTTTAGAATTCCTTGTAGAGTCTAGAGTGTTTTCATTCTAAAACTGCTTCTTACTAGACTTTGTTCTAAACAAATTCTAATCACTTTAGTCAGTCAAATCAAGTTTACCTAAGTTAACTTTTGACTCCATCTGACCAATTAAAATTCAACATCAAATCTTTCTGAATTCTTCAACCAACACTTTTAGGCCATTTCAATCAGATGGTTCATTCCCTACATTTGAGCATTTCCATGAAATATTTTCATCAAATTACAAGCCCTATTTTTTTGAACATAATTTGGATCATTTCCTTATCTCCAACACCTTAATTGTTGAAGCCTGACGATTGATGATTTGACTTATTACATTAATTGAGAGTTTTCCTTAGGGTTCTTGGCTTTATAGATGCAATTAACTACGAGGGTTTGCCTTTGTAGAGAATGAGACCCCGTAATTAAGATAAATTTTATATTACACTCGCAAGGAAAGAGAAAAAGCCTGGTTTTGTAAATTGACAAAGATTTTCATCATCCATGTGGTCAGGCCCATTCTTAAGATAATATTTTCTTTCTTCAGAAGAATATGTTATTCTTCAAAATATTGTGCCCAGTCATCTAGATAGAAGTCCTCCCAAAAGTTCTATGGTGCGTGGTGGCACACAAAAATCCCCCACCAAGGCTTTTTTTCTGGCGACTCTACTGAGAACTCATTCTTCTCTTCATCTTTTGTAATGAGTTAAATTATTCATTCTTCTATTAGATTTTATATGAGTCCATCAAACTTACTTGATCACTTGGGCCTGTCACATATCTTTAATTCATATGTTCCTGGCCACTCATTTAAACTCCTTTTAATCAGTAGTTTGAGGACATGCTCCATCATCAATTATCTTCACTGAGATTTTTTTTAAAATTAAACTCCTTTTTTTTAGTCATTCTTAGCTACTCATGGATCCTGAAAAAATATAGAGTGAGAAACACAATATCTTGCAATACCTCTATTATATTCTTCCAGACCTTCTTCCGAAGAATAATATTTTTATCGGGTTATATGAACTCACGAACAATACGACACCCTACGTCCTAAAAGGATTCAAAATTATTTATGAAAAAAAATGTATTTAAGAAATATATGAAAGTATTAATAATAAATTAAATGTCCTCCAGAATTTTTTTATAAAATCTTCTAACATAATTTCTATAACTATATGACTAAATAATTTAATTATCTTATTTTCATAAATTAAATAAATGTCAGCAGGACTTATTTGAGATGATTTTATTTTTTGTATTTATTTTATTTTTACTTTTTGTATTTTTTCCTTTAGGAATATATTTATTTGATATATATATATATATATATATTGTTATATAGTTCTTTTTTTTATTTTTAAAATATTTATTTATTTATTTATTTATTTATTTATTTTGTTTTCAAAAATAAATTAACTTATTTTTTGAAATATTTAAACTAATATTTATATATTTTAAGTGTTTTTAAAAAACAACCGTAACCTAAAAAAAGGAAAATATATGCAAAATAAAATTTAAAAAAAAAAGTAAAATTAATCCTAACTACCCTTTAATTACAAATAACTGTGCATGACAAAAGAAAATAACTCCAGCCATAAAAGTGGGGCTATCAAGCTTAGGCGGAAAGCTCGCCGGAGATTTGGCCGGAGTCGGCGCCGACAATGGCATAGAAGCCACCACCGAACTAAGTTTTATAAATGTGCTACACATTCTGATTCATATACATATCCAAAATTTGTACTTTCATAATTACATGTATATCACTGACATATTATTTAAATAGATTAATACTCGAAAGTAATTATTCTATATATAAGTTAAGATCTAACAGAAAAATAATCTATAAGCTTTATCGAATGTAAGAGACGTGTAAGAATGCTTGGGTTAACCCATGAAGATTGTGTATGTCTATTTGGGCAAAGTGTTATATTAATGGAGAGTCTATATTATAAAATGTGTTATTTTATAGAAGGAAAGATGTTGAGGGTGGGCAACTAAGGGTGGAGAATTAAGACACTTCAGCCCTTCTTAAAAATACCATTGTCATTAATTTTTAAAAGTGAATTATACATTTTTATAGAGGAATTACTTTCCAACAAGGATTACCATAATCATTTAGGCATGAGGATCTAACACTTAACAAATTGCTAAGAATAGTCCAAACATGCAAAGGGAATAAATTGATACTTATTCTTGGAGAAATGAACAAAAGAAGACAAATAGTAAAATTCCACAAGCAAAAGTCAATGAATAGTTCAATCTTTAATACATAGATTGTGTTTGTATGTATCTATGTATATATAGGGAAGAAAATCGTAGTGCCTAGCCCAATTAAAATAATTCACTATGTGATTCTAAGTATATATGTATATTCTCCTCCTGAATTAGTGAAGATAAAATTATAGAGTTGATAATCACATATGTACAAAAATAGTTCAGTGATAATAATTGCAATCGAACAGCAATAAATGTAATTCTTGACGATAATAACGATAACGGGCCACAAAGACCATAGTTGATTGCTACTAAGGCAGTAGTGTACCACAAATGTTGTTAACAGGGGCTATAATTGCATCGACTTGACGTAAAGGATATAGTTGAAAGTTGTGGTAGTAGTTGGTCACAATGGCTGTAATGGAATACTATAATGACAATAGTTGACATGTAGGTTATAGTGGAGGGCTATAATAGTAACTGGATACATATGTCGTAATGAGTAGTAGTAATTGGCCATTTAGGTCGTAGTGGAGAGCTGTAATAACACGATTTGATCACAAAGTCATAGTTGGGGCTAAACCAATTGGTGGTCATTGCAACCCTTTTCTTGGGTTAGCTATTATATCGGAGACATCACTCGTCGATATATGATGTAAGGAGGTGACTTTAGAAGCCCAGAGAAAGTCATCATATTATGAGTAAAACAATTATAAGCAGTTGTCACTGAATGTTGTCACCATATCAAAGATCCGACATTGTTCATTACCCATATTTGAAATGCTTCATTACACCATATTCAGAGTGCATCGTTATATCATATTCAGGGTACGTTGTTATATCGTATTCAGGGTACATTGTTACACCATATTAAGGTGCTTAGCTAAAATGTATTTAGGGTGTGTCACTAAACCATATTCATGGTGCGTCTTTACATCGTATTTAGGGTATGTCGTTACACCGTATCCATGGTGTATCACTACACTATATTTAGAAGATGTCATTATATCGTATTTAGGGACTTTGCTAGATTGCATTCAGGGTATTTCATAACACTATGTTGAATGTATTTTGTTACACTATATTCAAAACACGACGCTAGACGCGTTTGAGGTATTTCACTCCATCGCATTTGGGGTGCTTGGTTACACCACAACATTCACTAATGGCAACGAGCTGAGGGTAGCTGACAATTGTCTTTGATGGGTGGTGGTTGACAGTAGGTGACGAATACGAAGGCCAGAAGGAATCGTCAGGTCTTCAGTCCAGAATGACTGTAGAATTCCACTTCTTCCCCTTTTCCCTCTCTAGTGAAGAGAGGGTGTTTATTTATAGACTATGCGGGAGGGGCATTATCGTCATTCAATAAATAACTCTCGTAACCATTCGATCGAATAACCCACTTGATTCCCCTTGATAATAGAAAATATGTTGATGATTTGAGAGTCTTAATGATCTCAAAATTGGGTGATCGATCTTTGACTTATTGAATTCCTCTTGTCGAAATGCTCGATTTGACTATAGGTACATCCATTTTGATGTTTATTTGATTCTCCAATTAACTAACCAAAACCTCCGAATATGATTTAACAGTTTGATACAAACTTAATTTGACTCGAATTGAATCAATTTTGGTTTTATTAGGGCCCGTCTTGCCAAGTCAGTAAGTTTGGCAAAAAGTTCGTTGAAATCAAAGTTTTGAATGATTTTTAATTTGAATCTAAACATTTCTTGCTTAAATTTATCTCGAGATTCATATCGAATATCTTGAGATTCATGTTAAATGATAAGATTAATTTATTAATGACACGTCAATTTTGATATTCTTTAAAGATTAACCAAACCAATAAATACATAAAATTTTCAACGGCATGTAAATCCCCTCCAGAAACTTATTTGCGGTATGACATTATGTTACCTTTTTTTATAATATTCCCGTCTTGAGAAACAACTAACTGCCAAGCCCTGAAACGGCTTGCCCCGGTTTACAATAACTTGTAATAAATACCAAAAAATGGGAATTGTCTGCACTCCACACTAAACCCTATAAATACCATAACCGGGGAGTCATTAATCCCTCCGCCCGGCTTCTCTCGAGTCGACGCCGAGCATCTGATCTTCTCGGTAGAGAAGATGACAAAAATTTACCCTAATTTGTCGCTCCCCAAATCTCCTGCGTCCTCCATTTCCATCTCCGCCGGAGAGGAGCCGGCCGTCCTTACGGTATGGCGGAAGTCTCTTCTATTCAACTGCAGCGGCTTCACTGTCTACGATTCCACGGGTAACCTCCTCTACCGCGTCGACAACTATTCCTTATCCAGCCTTAACGAAATCGTTCTCATGGACGCCATCGGCAAACCTCTCTACACCGTCCGTCGAAAGGTTCTACATCCCCCCATCGATTTTCCCCAATTTTTTTTTTATGGAAACCGATCGTCCCTGAGTTTATTCATTCTTTCCTCTGCTTTGATGCAGCGATTTACTCTTACGGATCAGTGGAACATCTACAAGGGGGAAGCAGTAGCGGCGCCGAGGCCGATCTTCTCGGCGCGGAAGCATGTTTCGCTTGTCCGATCAAAATCACTGGCTCACGTGATCCCCTGCAGCGCCGCCGGCAAGTTTGCCGAGGCGATGTACGACGTAGAGGGTTCATTTGCGCAGAGATCGTGTGTAGTGTACGACGAGAGTCATAAACCAGTGGCGGAGATTCAACGGAAGGAGACGGTCGGCGACGATGTATTTCGCCTCGTCGTGCAGCCGGGTTTCGACGCCGCACTGGCCATGGCGTTCGTGATTCTTCTCGAGAGGATGTGTGTGTCGCGGGTCGCGTCGATTAAGGGCTGAGATTTTCACTCTCTGAAGATGAAGGGTGGTGATTTCTGGTTTTGATGTCGGGGATGTTTTTGTGGTTTACTGTCAATAACCTTGTAGGGGTTGCCTATATAAAAGCTTGCAGTTTTTTTTTTTTTTTTTTTTAATTTATTTTTTTATTTTTTTGCACCTGAGAGGGTGTGTTTTGTAATTTGTAAATTGTTGCCCCGATAGTTTTAACTGAACTGATTGACCTTGAATGATTATGAAATAAATTGAAAAAATTCTCAAATGATAAGCATATTACTTCTGCCGGATGCAAAGCTCGACAAAGCCGATATGTTGCAGTTTAATGGTAGGAAAATTATTATATCAGGATCCCTAACGTTGAGTTATGTTTGGAGTCCACTAATATGCGGACACGTGGATGTGATAAAAAAAATCGTTTTAATATTCCTCCTGTGTTATTCCACATTATTCTGGTGTTATTGTATTGATATTCTGGTGTTATTGTGTTCTGAGAATATTCTCAATAAAATAAGAACACAATAATACATCATACTGTAACAATAACACATGAATAATGTGGAATAATACAAAAGAAATATTCTTCTCTGTTACCGGGCCCGAACACAGGAAAACGCGCATGTTTTCTTGAAGCAACGTGTCTGTATATGAGTGGACTCGAGCGTAGCTCTACGTTAGGAGTCCTGATGTAGTAAAATTAATAATATAATAAATATTAGAATTATTTAATATAATAATAGTAATTATTTTATTAAATCAATAATATTAAGTGCTTCTGATTATGTTGAATGGGATTTACATAAAATGTAAAGACGTAATATTTTATTTATTTTGTAAATAATTTTTATAGTCATCCCAATCAAATCATTAGGCCTGGCCCTGTCCTGACTTTTAAAAAATATGGAGATTGCTACTAGGTTAAGTAGGTACCGAATATGCTTAATATATTATTTTTAATATTATACAATTGTTGAGGCAAAAAAGTTTTTCGAAATATTAACCATGTGTCTGCTTATTTAGCTGTTGTCATGTAATAATACAATTAAATCCTTTTTTTCAAATAAATAATTTAAAAGTAATTGTGTAATTAATTTCTGTAATTTATTGATAAAAATTGTATATATATATATATATATATA